TTTCTCCTCCGGCTGGGTAGAAGCGATGGGTGCGGAGATTTGCTGTTTCTCGACTGTTGCTTGCTTTGTATTGTCTTCCGCGGGCGGTGGCGTAACCTTTGCCCGTTTCGGTTTTACGATTGCGACCGCTAATTGTCTCAGCTTGTGTTCGGCCAGGAAGCAGGATCGTGACAGTCTTTGGCATCCCCAAATCGCTGCGATTCCCGTGGGAGTCGGGAATTTGATGCCTAAGTGATACGTCGATAGAACCGCCTTCATGGAATTTATCCAAGGCGTTCCCATGATCACGTTGTAGATAGCCGGGAACTCGACTACCGCGAAGTTAACGATTTTCGTCACTTCTTTCGCTGCGACCGGTAGTCGGATTGATCCCAGGGTCATGAACGTCTCGCCGGAGAAACTGGTCAACGGTTTTGGAATTGGCTCGACTTCTGAAGAGGTCAATTCCCATGTGTGCTAGCGTGTTGCGGAAGATCACGTTAACGGTACTTCCGGTATCGACCAAGATTCGAGCAACTTCTAAATCGCTTATCACTAAGTCGATGACAAGGGGATCGGCATAAGGTTGGTCGATTCCGCCGGTTTCAGCGTCGTCGAATGAGATCACCCCTTTCGGAGAGTCATCCGTCGGCACCTTCCAACTCGAGCCGGTTTCGGCTTTACGTTGGTAGGATTTGATTGACGAGACGGTGTCGTCGTAATATTGCGATTCACCGATAATCATGTTGATTTTTCGGCGCTTAGCATTGTTACCCTTCTCGTCTTGTCTTCGTCCGCGTTTTTCACCCGACTGGTTCCCTTGAGGCGGAGTTTCTGCTCGCGAGTTCCTGTCATTTTTCGGGAGACGGTCCGAGTCGCGGATGAGATCTTTGACGCTGGATATCTCAGAGAGTTCTCCTGTGATCAGTTTTGCAGCAAGTCTGGCGCCGAGAACTTTGCAGTTCACGGTGGAGTGTCCACGGGTTTGGTGGAGGTCGAAGAAAGTATTCTCATCGTAATTCGAATTTCTCGTCCACGTGTTACCCGTAGTCCGTCCTTGCTCTGATCCGGAGTTAATGGCGTAGTTATGCGCCCCTTGGAGATCTTGTCCCTCGTGATGGACGAATTTTTCGTTACGAGAATTCCTCTTTTTCTGCTTCTGCTCGGATGCGTTATCCTTTGCGGACGTTTTCGTCGGCTTATGCTTTTCGTACAGGATTTTTGTCTCCTCTTCGATGGTTATGTAATCAGTAGCCTTATGGAGCGCGTCCTGGATCGTCCGTGGTTTCTCGAGAGTTATCCATTTGCGGAATTTCGATTTGAACCAGAGCGATTTCCTTAACGCGTCGATGGCGGCTTTGTCGCTAATTCCGCTAACCTTAGCCATGACGAGTTTGAACCTACTCATGAAATCGCGGAGAGATTCTTCCTCCTTCTGCACCAAGCTTCAGAGGTTGGCGTCGGAGGTTTCCGGGTTAATGAACATCGAGTATTGCTTCAGGAATACCGAAGCGAGTCGACGGAAACTTCCGATCGAATTTTGCCTAAGTTTGGTGAACCATTCGAGCGCTGCTCCTTCTAAGTTTTCGACGAAGAGACGGCAGTAGCCTGCGTCCTTTTCGTGGTCCTTGAGTTTGGCTCGTCCCATGGTGATATGGAATGCCTGTAGGTGTGCTTTGGGATCAGACGTCCTGTCGTAAGTCGGCACCTTAAGTTTTCCGGGATCGGGCAATTTGACCTCTGTGATGCGAGCCGTGAAGGGCGTTTTCCGAGACTCGTATAGTAACCGATCGATTTCAGGTGCGGCGCTGGTAGCGTGATGAATCTGAGATTTCACCGCTTTTACCGCTGCGGCCGTTTTAGTGATGTATTCGCGGAGATCGCGAATCTCGGTCAAATTGCTAGCAGTTTTCCGACCTTGTCGGCGTTTGCTGCGAATAACCGGAGATCGCTCCTCAGCAGTTTTTGCGTATCGCGCAAAGTCGAGTTCCTCCTCGTCTCCAGTAAGAGAACGTTCGGGAGAAGACTCCGGTAGAGGACTTCGAGTTTTTCTTCTCCTAAGAAGGACGTCAGTGTCTTCGTCCGATGAATCGGCCTGGTCACTTGTCTCCAGGTTAACCCTTTTGATGCCGTCATCCTCGGTCTCCTGTTCGCGAGTAGGAGGTTTCTCCGATTCGTTTGGCGTCGCGTCAGGGTTATCTTTTCCAGAATCCTTCTCCGGTAAGTTACCCTGCTCGGTTCTGGGACGATCCGTAGGAGCGCCGAAATCGAGCCTCCTTCCGCGGATCTTAGTAGTCCCGCGGGGGCGAATCGCTCGGGTTTTCGCGGTTAGGATTTCAACCCGTTTCGCGAGCGAACCAATGAGCTTTTCCTGCTCTTCCGGTTTTTTGTTAAACTCGGAAAGCATCTTTTCAATGGTCTCGGCGTTAGCATTTGTAGCGTTGGCCACGAACGCATCTTGCGGTGGCGGTGTTTCAACGTTGTCGCGTTCGTTGCGAGTTTGTTTGTCACCAGTCATCGTTTCTTCGTTGGACATGTTGCGACTTTGGTGTAAGATAGATCCGACCCCTCCCCCTCCTTCTAGCGCCAAACTGTGGGAACCGAAATCCACCTACTGTCAATAAATCGTAAATAAGGAAACTTCGGGAAAACCCTAAGTTTCCAGAGGAACCAGCTATCTGCAGAACCGCACAACGAAGATTAAGAAAACGACGAACTTAGAATTTAAAAGAGAATAAACGAAATCGAGAGAAAAGAGGTTCTTATTCCGAATCTGCGTAAGAACTGTTACAACGAGAGTAGCCTTAGCTGCGTGAGCCGTCGGCGAAATCCCTAAAAGTCTAAGAACGAAAACCCTAGTTGAGACGCAGCTCGCTAACAGAAAACGGAAATATTCCTAAATGCTAATTTTGGTGGTGAGAGCTCTGAAAATCGTGTTCCAGCTTCTGTCCTATGCCTCTTGCTTATATACTCCCTCTTAGGCGGTTTTAGTCTTTCCATTTCGCCCGAAGCTGAGCATATCGGGAATTTTCCATTCCTCTTGATCCTTCCTTTTCTTCCGCGGAAATCTTCTATTTATCTCCAAACTTACCTTTTGTCTTCAAACTTGACATTTATCTTCCTTCTGCGAGTAAACCATCAAAACGTTATCGTATCCTCGGGTTTGGTTTTGTTAATATCGCGAGATGGGTTTTTATCGTATTTTAGGACCTTTCGGACCGTTTTACGATAAAATCCGTTTTACGACTTTATACGAGACCGTTTCCTGATCCGATGCCGTTTTTACGATTTTCTAAACGTTTTTTATTAAAAACGCGTTTTTATGATTTTATAATTAATACTTTTAAAAATAATTAATTATATGTTATGTAATAATCGTTTAGATAAGTTTTAAAATGTTAGATTATATGATGTGGTAAATAACTTTTGTATATATTCGACCCAAATAAGAATATAATTTAAATTTGAAAATTTTGAATAGTTACGATAAACTAAAATTGTCAACAAAAATAATAGAGAACCTTTAGCAAAAAAAGAATTATAGTGAACTTTCAATCACTTAGTTATTTATAAAATTGAACACAAGTGATTGGATTCTGTTTTAGTTTAAGCTAGGTAATTTATAGAGAAAAGTCTTATATCTATCATTTTCTCCCAAAATAGTAATTTAATATTTTGAACATTATTTTATTTATTTTAAAAAAATTTCCACAATTGTTTTTCAAAATTTAGATTTAAAAAAATCATTTATTTGTACTACACAAATATATAATTTATCTAATCAGTAAATAATTGAAAAATAAGATTAAAATTTATGACATTATATAAATCATCTTTACATATGTGTCTCATAATATGAAAAAATAGAAACTAAAATGATAAGTTATCATAAAAATAATATATATTGTTTATGTTACATTCAAAAAATGGTAAGTTTATAAAGATTGTATTATTAAATTTTCAATTACTTGGATATATAATATAAATTTAATTTGGGAGTTGCCAAAAAAAATTTATAATTTCGGGTTATAAACAATATTAGTTATTATTTATGGTTGTGTACACAATTTAACAAAAATATATGATTTATTTTGTATTACAAATCTTATTTTTAGTTAAATATATGATCATATTTATGTGAATAATAATTAAATATGAATATATTAGTACACTTTTGTATTCTAAATTGATTTGAAAATTTTCACGTTTGCAATCATATCATTTTAAGTTAATTGACTTATATTTGGTAATATTATTAATACAATTATTACCTTATATTTAAACTTCTATATTTGAAATATATGTCATTTAAGGTTAAACCATGTCACAATTACATATGATCCAGGTCATATTTTTGATCAGCCATGTCATCATTTTTTTTTGTTAGAATGATTGTGCTGATGACACCTAGACAATCACTTCTCAAATAATGTCTAGGAGATTTGTGTGCTAAATATGGAAGGTTTTTATATGTCTAAGAGATTTGAGTTATATTTCCAATTTTTTATGGTGATGATTGATTACTCAATACTCACATCTACGTTTCTTGTTTTGCAATGGAAAAAAATCTCAGGTGTCTGAGAATCAGTATAACGATCATGAGAAGAATGAAGTTACAGACACAATTACACATTAAAAATATCAAGGAAAACAAGAAGCAACACAAAGTGAGATATCTAAAAACAAAATATGACATAACAATCTTTTTCGTGTTCTGTATTGTCCAGAAACACACTCTGCACTAATCATATATTAACCTTATCCAGTCATCAAACCAAAATCAATCCCAAAACCCAAAGTATGAAGTTATATTTACATTCTATGTTGCTGCTCCTTTTGGTTTGTTCCCAGTTCTTTCTTTCAAAACTTATTGATCACAAAAGAACCACGCTTAGTTTCCGATAGGAATGTTCCATAATGGATATAAAATGGCATAGAAGCCATACAAGTATATGTGGGTTTTAAATGAAAGAAGCTCTCACCATAGTTTAGGATATAAATAAGATTGCAGATGGGTTTGCTTATGACTGTGGTTCACGTATTTTGTGATAGAGGTTGATGGTATCTTTGTGGCATGGATCAAGACTCAGAGCTGCTTCACAGTCTCTGATAGCGTCTGTAGTTTCACGCATTGAAGCGAAGAATGCTCCTCGGAGATGTAACAGCTGGAGGTCAGATTTAAAGGCTATAGCTTTGGATAGCTCTTCAATGGCTTCATTTTCTTTATGGTCGTCCATAAAAACTATAAACACAATATCATGAGGATTAGTTCTCAAACAAAAACAGTAATATTAAGAAACAAGAAATGGTTGTGAAACTTAATGCACCTGCGGCTCTGTATCTATAAGGGTAAGTTCTCAGAGGATCTAGCTGTGTTGCCATCACTAGGTCTCTCTGTGCCATCTCTCGGTCACAATACTCTGACCGCTTTTCAAAGGCCGATGCGTTGTTCTGAGCTTTCTCTATCAACTTTGTCATCTCATTATACGCATCTTTCCTTTGGCTTTTCAGATTGTAAACACGAGCTAGGCCTTGGTGAGCTCGTGTGTGCTTGATGGTTAGTGCGTTCTTGTAGCAATCAGCTGCAAGATCCAGCTTACCACAGTCAACATATACACTTCCTAGGTTGTACAAAGCCTGCAAGTATAACAAACTCTTTAATGATATTGCACAGAGGAAGATGAAATCATGAAACCAATGGGTAACAGTTTCTTTCTTCACTTACTTGTCCCTTACGGAGACCATCTGATGGACACCGAAGTGCTTCTTCAAGAAGCTGGATGACATACTTTGAGGACTCGGGTTCGAGTGATGAGTCTGCAAGAGCATAAGCTTTAAGGAAATAGGCTTCGAAAGATCTTTGTATGGAAACAGATTCCTCTGCCTTGGCCAGAGCTTCCTCACGGTGACCTGTGTCATACAATATCCATCCTTCATACACAAGTCTCTCATGCTCCGACTTTGAATGGTTCCGAGCCAGCCTAAGGCTACGCATTGCTGCCTTTTGACAATTTAGCCTGAAATATTACATAATCAGATGAAACAAACTCAGTCTAACCAAAACATTTTTTTTTATTTGTTCATACATATTTAAAAACATATTAAATATGTATATAAATACATTATTTTCTGTGATCATCAGTTTCTAATAAAGTTTAATTTAATAAACTCCATTAATTTATTTGAAATTTACAATCTACTGTTATTAATAAAAGAAAACACACAAATATATATATATATATATATATATATATTAGTGAATCAATTATTTTTCCAAAACATTTATCTTTTTGTGGAAAGGAGATAGTATGTTCTACCTTAAGAGAAGAAGAGACTGTCTGAAACGCAAAAGACTCTTCCCAGGATCATTCTCCAGCATATGATGAACTACAGCTAGAGATCCAATATCATCAACAGAAGACCAACGATCATAAAGCTGCATCCAACAATCAGCCTGGTTCCTTTGCTGGACCAATGGCCGGAGGAGTTCCACCATATGATCACCATGAATCTTCTTGTCAAACATCAAGAAATTCGGCTCCAACGTCAAAAGCGCTCGAATATCTTTCAAAGCACCTTCATAGTTCTTCATAGCTATAGAAATCCACGCCCGCATCTCTAAACAGTCAGGAGAGACTTTAAACCTTAGAATCTTGTTCAGTTCCGCGACCGCAGCACCAAGCTGACTCTCCTCGACCAATGACACTGCCCTGAACTTGTAAGGGAAAGTCAAAGTTGGGTCCAAATCAGTGGCATTGTCTATATCAAGCAGCTTCTCTTCACCGCTGCAGTACAAAGACCTCTCTTGGTGCATCCATCCAGTAGCTGAGCTATCCGAAATCAACGAGTTCATGGTCTTATAAGCCGAGTATCGATGTCCACGCTTAAACTTAGACCTTGCTACACCAACGAGGGAGTAAACATGACCTGCTTTGACAGCTGAGTTAAACCATTTCTGAGCATCTTTATATTCTTTCCTCTCAAGCATCACAACACCTAACTGGTGACAAGCGAGCTGCTTCTGCCATGTTTCCGCTGCATATTCGACTAAACATTCTAACACCATTACAGTTGTGTTTGATCTCATATCGTCTTCCATAACAATCTGGCTTAAGAAGAGATACAACGTAAACGAAGCATGCCCAACCAAGGCCAGCCTCTCCCGTCCCTCGGCACTACATAAAATCTTGACAACGTTCGGATTACGCATCGAGCTTGGACACTCTCTAAGAAAAACCTGAAGACAAGAACCCACAAGAAGGCACGCGCCCTCCTCCAAACCGTACTCTATCAACAACACCGCATCATCGAGATTACTAACAAAACGAGCCAAAAACATGTCGCAAGCTGACTTCAACTCGTCGCAGCAGAACTGGTTCGCGAATGTGAGTAGCTCCAAGACAACATTAGGAGGAAACATGTCAACTTTTCCAACCCTACTAAAAACCTCAGCAGCTCTCATCCCTTCCACAGAGACTCCGTTCTCCTTGAAGTTGATACTGCTCCGTGTCGTCTCGCTAAACCCATCGTATAACATAGCCTTAAAGGGTGTAGATAAAGACGCAAACTTGGACCTCACGCAAGGAACTTCATCATCACCTATAAAGAAAGACATGTCGTAATCAACCTCTGACGTCGAACATTCTTCAACATCAACATCACCAACGTTGAACGCTGAACATATACATGGATCGTATACCCGTTCCGGGTCGTACCCGGTAACAAGACTCGCTTTAGGGCATTCAAGGTTTCTTCGACAGCAATCCATCGATGTTGTCCCTATTAGCTCATCTTCCCTCCTCTCATAACGTAGCCAAGAAGCTAAAACAACTTTCGTATGAACGTTAACGGCGTGTTGCCTAGCTAACCGGAGACTCCGCCTGAAAAGTTTTGAATCCGATAAGCCTCGGAAGATCACGCATTGCTCTAGATAAGCGTCGGATTTCTCCAACTGGGAGCAGTTTTCGATTTTACGGTAGATTTCGGCTAGCTTGTCGATCAAGTCAACGAATTTGAGAGAAGGTTCTATCTGCGGTTCGAGGAGGTCCGTGTTGGGGAGTCCGTAAGGGAGGAGAGAGTCTTTTGAAACGACGGCGTTATGGTTTGGAGGTGGGTATGTTCGTGTGGATTTGGAACAGAACGAGTTGACTAGGAGGTGGTCTTGGAGATGCTGAAACAGCTTTTCGCCGGCTTTTTCGGTGGTGGAGGGAGGAGGTGGAGGAGGAGGAGGGTTGAGAGCCGTGCCTTTGCATCCTTCGATGAGTTTTAACGTTCGTATTGTTGTCAATAGGTTAGGATGCATCTTCTTGAAACCAACCAATGGGAGATTTTTTGAAGGGAGGTTTCTAAATTTGGATGGTGTTTGAATTGGGTTTTCGAAAAGATGAATACTTTTGTTGTCGGGTTATGATAATCTGAGATTTTGAGTTATTGGGTTAATGGGGAAATTAGAGATGACGTCGGAATATCTACCGGAGATCTCTGGAAGGGAGATCACCGAGAGATTTCTCTTCGTCTCTCTCTTCTCTTTCCCTTAATTTGGATTTTTGTTCTGAAGGTTTTCGCAGTGTAGTTTTCATTAATTCCAACCTTCTTTTCATGTTCTGTCCGTAAAAGTAGAGAAAAGGGAATTGGAGGAATGATCTCTCTCTCTCTCTCTCTTCAACGTTTGGTTTATTTTCTCTCTCCTCTCTAAAAATGCAGTAGTACTATTATTATGTATGTGTGTTATGTCATTCTGGTCTCTTTTTTATTTGGGGGCTTGTCTTTTATTTCCCTTTTGGGTGATACCTGATTGGTTTATACCAGGAAATAAAACCAGGTTGTAGAATCGTTGATTTTCACTTCAGTTACTTGACTAGGGGGCTGTTTGTTTCTTCATTCAAATGATTCATTCGAATGGAGATGAGCTTTTTGTTCGTTTAGACACAAAAAGTACAACTCATTCAGATGATCCATTTGAAATTTAGACTTAATTTTAAAATTCATTCAGCTGAACGAATTTTGATCATTTGAATGGAGATGGTTCATTCAAAATGGTATAATGTCTATTATATCCTTGTTGTAATTCACAAATTACAAACTTAAACATAAAATTATTATGTGACACACGAAAACTGAAAAAACCCACAAAATCTCGTTTTCCCTCCAAATCCAAAAAATCTCGTTTTCCCGCCAAATCCGAAAATTTTGTTTTCCCGCCAAATCAAAAAGTTCTCGTTATCCCGCCAGATCCAAAAAATCTCGTTTTCCCTAAAAACCGAGAATTTCGTTTTCCCGCCAAATCCGAAAATCTCGTTTTCTCGCCAAAATCACAAAATCTCGTTTTCCCGCCAAAATCACAAAATCTTGTTTTCCCTAAAAAACCGAAAAATCTTGTTTTCCTGCCAAATCCAAAAAATCTCGTTTTTCCGCCAAAACAACAAAAATGCATTTTCCCGCATTGTTGGAGGTTGATTTAGTTTAAATACATTTTAGAGTAAATAATATCAATTAGTATAGTTATAATTAATAGCAAACATATAATTAAATCAAAACAAGGGTATATATGTAATTTGTTTATCAAACTCATTTGAATGGAAATAAAAAAAAAGAAACAAACATGAAATTCATTCAAATGTTCATTTAGATGACTCATTTAGATGGAAAAACGAACAATCCCTAAAATCAGGATGGATCATTTAGATAGATCACATAGATGGATCAACTGAATGGAGATTATAAATGGAGAAACGAACAGCCCCTAGATTCTTGCATAAGAGAACATGAAAGGAAGATCAATTGATTGAGAGCCTCAATAGAGCCAAAGAAGTAATGCTGTTTATATAGCAACTGAAGAAAGCTTACACGAGATGAACACATTTGTTTTGAAACAAATGGATTGGGCCTCAAGTTTCAGAGGGAGAAAATAGATGAAATTGTGTTCTGCCGTTTACATCTAACCTTCTCTAATTAACTAGGAGAAACAGAGATGTAAAATTATTATACTCATTGCTCCTGAGTCAACAATGATCTTCTATTATTGTTTTCTTTGGCTCGGATGATGAATTACCGTTCACTAGAGGTTTCACTTTTCAGTGACTTCTTGAGCCTAACCAATCCTTCATTGCTATTTACACCTTGAGCTAACAAGGCACACTTGGTTCTTCCACCTACTATCACGATTTCAGCTCTCAACGCATTTGCTTTTACTACTTTTATTGATTCTGCAATTTCTGACATTAGTCCTTCTCTATCACTACAGCTAAACACCACTCTAGCCAAGTCTTTATTGTTGCAGTGACTCAATCTCAAGTTGTCTTCTAAAGCTGGTGTGGCTGGTATGTCATTACCAATCTTTTTCAATTCACTGAAACACCTAATAGTCTCTCGTAGCACATATGCTTTATCCTGCTGTTTCATTTCATTAAACATTCGTAAGTGTTAATTATCCCGTGAAACATCATCTTATACATGCATGGAACTAGACTTACTTTGACCAAGTTTGGAAGAATTGTGGGAAGAGTTGCAAACTGGCGTGGAAGTTGATTGTGATGTTTATAATGAATTATTATGGTGTGATAGTACTTTGATTATTGTCTACAGCTAGTCAGTTCTTGTTCTGCATTGGTATGTATAGTGGCTCATGCGGAAAGACTGTTCTAGAACTGTTTCACCGAGTAAACTATTTGCTCATGCTTCCCTTCCATTCCCCTGTCTACAGACTACAAGATTGAAGTAGAAGTGATGGATGTAGTTGAATTGGTGAATTTAAATAGATGGAAATGCATCTGAGACCATTGGTGGGACAAAGTGGATTGCCTTGTGGCGTAGACAATTCTCCATAGCCCTACACTACCGCCTACCGGCTTGCTTTTGCCGCTGCCGGTAAAAATAATTTTTTTGTCAGCTGGTGAAAAGAATCATATGGTTGACTTTTCTAGTCTTCTATATCCTCCATAAGTTAGAAGATGAAGAGAAAAGGATTTTGGAAAAAGTGTGATATAGGTTGGATGGCATCAGAGTCACTGATAGTGCCATTGATATCTTGAGCTCTGAACCGGAGGCGGACGTGTTGAAAGATTCGTCGTATGAGGATGAATCAGTTTTTAGGGAAATTACCTATTTTCAAACAAAAACCAAAAACCAAAAAAAAAAACATGGGAAATAGGACAAAAATTTTCCAGTTTTTAGTCATGCTTTTAGTTTACAAAAAAAAAAAAAAAAAAAAACAAAAACCAAAAACCAAAATTTTCCAGTTTTTAGTCATGCTTTGTTATTTATGTATTTTATTATTTAACTAGTATTTAATAAATATTAATATAAGGAAATAGGACATGGGAAATAATACTCAAAAATCAATACCAAAGTTACTATTGGTTGTTAACACAACTAGCTAGGCTACTACGTAATATACAATACACGTAGCAATATCATTGTATTAGTATAGTATAATTTTTTGTCAATTATTAGTATATTTATAGTATATATATGCATAGTGCTGGAACTACAGTTTTGACAATATGGTTCCAGCCTATTTTACAAATGATTCTTTTTAAAAAGAAATCTATAATAATTTGAAAATTTTTCAGCTCACATAATTTCTTATGCTTTAATACAAAAAGTAAAATAAAATTTATAAAAGTCAAGTTAATTATTTCAAATACTATGTATATATTGATGTTTTATGTTAAAATAATTTTATAAAAAGAGTTTATCTGTTTTCTCTAATAATATTTTTAACTAGCTTTAGAATAGTTATTTTATATTTTATAAAAAAGAATAGTCTATGCTTAAAAATAATTTCACAATATTTTATTTTTTATTTCAGTTTTTATTTGAATTAATATTATTAAATAAGTTTAAGTGTGTTTTCATAATGGTATTTTACATTTTATTTTATTTGGAATAATTTTTTATTAACAAGAAAAATTTTCATTTTGTTAATTTTAAAAGTAAAAACCAAAAACTAAAAACTAAAATGTAAAACAACCATTCATGTTTTTCAAAAAACCAAAATCTACTGTAAAATCAACAACTAAAATGTAAAAACTAAAATCTAAAAAACAAAAAACAAAAATCAAAAACTAAAAACTAGAAACCAAAATTTAAAAACTAGGAAAACAATCGTCACCCTATTTATTCATTTCTTCTTTTTATTTTCCTATATGAAGAATTGAAAGTAGAAGTGGTGAATATGGTTGAGTTAGTGAATTTAAATGGAAGAAAATGCGTTTGAAAATCATGTGATCATTGGTGGAACACGGTTGTTTTCCTTGTGGCGTAGATCTGTTTTCCTAACCCCACGCTTCTGGCTTATTTGGGGAGGGAGGTGTGACAATAAAGCTTTTGTCCCTGCTGGTGAAAAGAATCATATGGTTGACTTTACTAGTCTTCTAAGTCCTCCGTGATCAATAAGTTAGAAAGATGAAGACAGTAACAAAAAAAAAAAAAAAAAAGAAGGATGAAGACAAACGGATTTTGGAGGAAGTGTGGAATAAGTTTACCTACAAGTCCCTCTCATATTTCAGTGAACATATTATTCCATGTTTTGCATCATGTTTTCGATTATATCAACAATGGTTTTAGAAATGGTTTTTTTTGTTCAACGGTTTTAGAAATGGTTAAAACTATCAATTTGATAAAAGCGAAATGAGCTATCTTTCTAGTAAGAAAAAAAAAGAATGACAAACAAAACATTGTCCACATATAGTCAGTACCCGAAATTTCCCACAAACTGAACGTCATGTTGGAGTAAATCTGGTTTAAACTTAAGTCTGGAGAAACTTAAAAAGATTGTCTAATAACTAGGCCTCCGAGATGGAAAGAACACCAACGAATTTCAAGCGAGGTAATCCGACAAGGCGAGGTTTACGAGCTTGGATGTTTTTACTCTGTGGTGTTGTTCTGATCCAGCTGTTTGCTCGTCAAACCGATGCTCAAAGATCTAGAAGTCCATGGAAAACACTCAGTGGTGAGAGTGCTCTCACTCTCTTCTTTAGGCTTGAATTTACGTGAAAATTTGGAGAAAACAGGGCTTGGACTTTCTTTATTATAGTTGCGTAGTAGAAGTTGGGATACTCATAGATATTCTCTTCAATTAAAAATTTAAAATAACGTGTGATTACTTTTTCTTTTATTTTTACCAGGTGATGCTCCTCTTGTGATTGCTCGTGGTGGATTTTCTGGATTGCTTCCAGATTCGAGTATTGCTGCTTACAGTTTCGCAACGCAGATAAGTGTAGCAGGTTCTGCTCTATGGTGTGATGTTCAGCTAACCAAAGATGGAGCTGGGATCTGCTTTCCTGACTTAAAACTGAACAACGCTTCAACTATTGAAGATGTTTATCCAAATCGCCAAAAATCTTACCAGGTTAATGGAGTCCCTACGCAGGGTTGGTTCACCATTGATTTCTCCTTGAGAGATCTCAGTAATGTTTCTTGTAAGTTTTTATGACTCAGTTACAGTTTCTGTAAAAAAAATAATTTTGTGTGTTTTGTTGTTCTCACAAAAATGTCTTTTTGTTTTTTCTGCTTTCCCCTGTTTGCAGTGATCCGAGGAATATTATCTAGGTCAGAAAAATTCGATGGATTATTTCCCATTGCGACGATTGAAGATGTAACCACGCAGATAAAACCAGACAGTTTTTGGTTAAATGTTCAGCACGATGCATTCTACGCGCAGCAGAAACTGAGCATGAGCAGTTTTCTGATATCAGCTTCACGAAATGTTTCCGTTGACTACATCTCCTCCCCTGAAGTGAATTTCTTGAAAAATATTGATGGCCATTTCGGGCCTAATGGACCGAGTTTCGTGTTCCAGTTTCTTGGAAAAGAAGATTTTGAGCCGACAACTAACCGAACTTACGGCTCTATCTTAAGTAACCTGACTTTTGTCAAGACATTTGCTTCAGGAGTTCTTGTCCCAAAGTCTTACATATTGCCACTTGATGACAAGCAGTACTTGCTCCCTCCTACATCGTTAGTTCAAGATGCTCACAAGGCAGGATTACAAGTATATGTGTCAGGTTTTTCCAGTGATATTGATATCCCTCACGACTATAGTTCCGATCCGGTGTCTGAGTATCTATCTTTTGTGGACAATGGCAATTTTTCTGTCGATGGCGTGCTCTCTGATTTTCCTATAACTGCATCTTCATCCCTTGGTAAGCAAAATATCTTCAATAGGTTTCTTTATGTCCTTGAAACATTTCTCCAAATATTCAAAAATTGATTATTTTCTTTTCATATTTACCTCAAGAATGCTTCTCCCACCTTGGCAAAAACGCTACTGAACAAGGTAGTAAGAGTAATTACTTTGCATATTACTTTTCTGACTAGTAGAAAAAACGGAAACCTATATATAGCTGACTTTATCTAATGGTTCATGGTGTTAGTTAGGATATGATAATATCCAACTAGAGAATAGAATAAGTATATTCTGTAAAGATAAGTATCTACAGTTGTATATATACTCATTCATGAGATCAATGCAAATCATCAATTCTCATACACTTTCATGGTATCAGCAGCTTCTACGTTCCTAACCTAAATCTCGCTTCTGCGCAATTCTCTTCTCCTCCTCTTTCCCCACCTTTCTTCTTCTTCTACCTCTCTATTTCTTTATCGTTCTTTTCCTTTATCACCATGGCTGCTTGGAATTCATCAGACAAACCCTTTAGTATCAGTCAGATCAGAGCTTACATCCCTGTTATACTCGATCTTGACAAGATGAATTACGATGTGTGGAGAGAGATCTTTGAAACCCACTGCCTTTCTTTCGGTGTTTCAGATCAACTTGATGGAACCGCTGTTTCTACTCCAGAGACAGAGAAAACCTGGAAAGAGAGAGATGGTCTCGTTAAAATGTGGATCTACGGGACTATCACCCCCTCTCTCGTTGAAACCATCCTTACCCCCAAGAGCACGGCACAAGATCTTTGGTGTACTCTGGAAAACCTATTTCGAGACAACAAAGAAAACAGAGCCTTGCAACTAGAGAACGAACTCCGCACCATCACCATTGGAGACCTGTCCGTCCAAGAGTACTGTCGCAAGTTGAAGTCCTTATCGGATCTCTTGACCAACGTGGATTCACCAGTCACTGATCGACAATTGGTCATTCACTGCTTGAATGGACTGAATGACAAGTTCGAAGGAATCCACAATGTCATACGGCATCGCAGTCCATTCCCAAGTTTTCACACCACACGTTCCATGCTTCTTGCTGAAGAAGAGAGACTCAGTAAACAACCCAAACCAGCTGTCACTCATACCGACACGACATCATCTCCTAATGCACTCGTCGCTGACAGCGCCTCATCCGGTTCTCAGGCACGCAACTACACCAACAACAACAATCACACCAAAGGAAGCAATAACAACTATCGCAACAATCGCAACAACAACCGCGGTGGAGGACGAGGCAATCGTGGCCGTGGAAGAAGCAACAACAATGGATTTCCAAACTACGGATACCCACCGTGGTCTTTTGGTCATCAGCACTGGCCATTCCCCTACTCACCCGCTCCACCTCAAATGATGCAGTATCCTCCGCCTTACACTCCATTCACACCACCACAATCAACACAACGACAAAGCAGCATCCTCGGTCCATACTCACCACAACCACCACCTGAAGCTCACGCTGCTCAGATTGCTGCCACTCCACCATACACATTGCTTCCACAAGCGCTTGCCACAGCTTTCAACACAATGAGTCTCCAAGATCCGTCGGTGTCTCCTTGGTACATGGACAGCGGTGCTACCAATCACATCACGGCGGATAATGGTACACTCTCGTCTGTTTTTAACAAGGGTATAACTCGTTCTGTTCTTGTAGGTGACGGCTCTCTTGCTCCTGTTACAAGCATGGGACATTCTACTCTCTCTTCCTCTTCTAAAAAGCTTTTTCTTAATAATATTCTTGTTTGCCCATCCATCATTAAAAATCTCATTTCAGTACGTCAATTTGCTACTGAAAATAAATGTTCTGTTGAGTTTGACCCGTTTGGTTTTTCTGTCAAGGATCTCCTCACCAAGAGAACTCTTCTCCGATGTGACAGTCCTGGTCCTCTATACTCGGTGACACCTTCCTCCACCTTCACTCGTCCTCTTGCTCTCACCGCAGGTGTCCCTCTTTGGCATCAGCGTTTAGGTCACCCGGGTAGTTCTATTAATCGTTCATTGTTTTCTTTGGGTTTTTCAAATAATATTGCCGACTTGACGACATTGTGTCATGCGTGCAAAGTGGGTAAACACACTCGTCTTCCATTTATTTCTTCATCTACAATTGTTTCTGCACCTTTTCAAATTATTCATTCCGATATTTGGACATCTCCTGTGTCAAGTATTTCTGGCTTTAAATATTATCTTTTGTTTTTGGATCACTTTACTCACTACACTTGGGTTTATCCATTACACAGAAAAAGTGAAACCTTTGCCAAATTCTTACACTTCTCAGCCTATGTGCGCACACAATTTAATTGCTCTATCAAAGCACTTCAGTGCGACAACGGTGGCGAGTACACAAGCCGAGCATTTCTTGATCACTTGGCAGCCACTGGAACGGACATTCGCTTTTCCTGCCCTCATACGTCTCAACAGAACGGCCGGGCAGAGCGCATGCTCCGTACTATAAACAATCTTGTGCGCACACTTCTCATTCAGGCAAGCATGCCAACCTCTTTCTGGGTTGAAGCTCTTCACACGGCGGTTTACACTCTCAACCTTCTTCCTTCCTCTGCTATTCAAAATAATATTCCTTTTACACGTTTGTTTAACCGCCCTGTGTCATATTCTCACCTTCGTGTTTTTGGCTCTCTTTGCTATCCAAATACAGCTTCCACATCACCCCACAAACTGGCACCTCGATCCGTGGCATGCGTGTTCCTAGGATACCCTTTGAACCATCGAGGTTATCGGTGCTTGGTACTGTCTACTCGTAAGATAGTTATCTCGCGCCATGTCACGTTTGTGGAGGATGTTTTCCCTTTCTCTGTTCTTCCAGCTCACAAAAGCCTTCCGATTTCTCCTTCTCCTGTTCCTCCTCTCATTCCACCTATCACTGTTCCTATGGCGGCTCCACCTTCCCCGCCAGCTCCTCAACCTATCCAAAACACACACCCTATGGTTACTCGGAGCAAAACCGGGATCTCTAAACCTCGGGTTCCTCTGTGTCTTCATACCGAAATTGTCTCTCCTCTTCCTTTGTCTCATGTACAGGCTGCAAAGGACCGTCACTGGAATGGAGCAATGCACGAGGAATACGATGCCCATGTTAAACGCGGTACGTGGGATCTTGTACCTAGACCTCCTAATGTTAACATAATACGTTCTATGTGGTTGTTTCGGCATAAGTTTAATGCAGATGGATCACACAAGCGACATAAGGCGCGACTCGTCGGCAATGGGAAATCACAACGGCCAGGAATCGACTGCTTGGACACGTTTAGCCCAGTGGTCAAACCCGCATCCATTCGATCTGTGCTACATGTCGCTTTGGCTCGCAATTGGCCCCTTCGCCAACTAGACGTCAAGAATGCCTTTCTTCACGGTGACCTCGAAGAGACAGTCTATATGCACCAGCCACCGGGGTTCGTTGACAAATCCAAACCAAACCATGTCTGTCTCCTCCGCCGTTCGCTCTATGGCCTTAAACAAGCCCCGCGAACCTGGTACACAAAGTTTGCTACAGTCGCCAAACAGATCGGGTTTGTCCAAAGCAGATGCGATGCTTCCTTGTTCATCATCAACAAAGGCTCTGATACGGCGTACTTGCTACTGTACGTGGACGACATTATCCTCACAGCATCCACACCAGCTCTACTTGATCGTATAGTCTCCGGCCTCTCCTCTGCATTCGACATCACTGATCTTGGACAACTTCATCACTTTCTGGGCATCGGTGTCACCTACAACGACAAGGGGATGTTTCTCAGTCAACAAAACTACATTGCTGACATCTTGCACCGTGCATCTATGACCAATTGCAATCCCTGCAATACTCCAGTCGACACAAAGCCCAAACTTGCCGCCGATGAAGGACCCCCAGTCGCTGATCCATCGCTCTATCGAAGTTTAGCCGGTGCACTGCAGTATCTCACACTCACTCGACCTGAGATCGCCTTTGCTGTCCAACAGGTCTGTCTATTTATGCATGACCCACGAGAACCACACCTCACAGCTCTCAAGCGCATTCTACGCTACCTCAAGGGCACCATATCACACGGTCTTCAACTTCATAAGTCGTCTCTCTCTGATCTTGTCGCCTACTCAGATGCCGATTGGGCAGGCTGTCCATCAACTAGACGCTCCACCTCCGGCTACTGCGTGTTCCTCGGTGACAGCTTGATCTCTTGGTCCTCCAAGCGCCAAGATACAGTGTCCCGGTCCAGTGCGGAGGCTGAATATCGAGGCGTCGCCAATGCGGTAGCAGAGACGATTTGGATTCGTAATTTACTTGGCGAACTTGGCTGTCCCCTAAAGAAGGCTACTCTTGTCTATTGCGATAACATATCTGCCGTGTACCTCTCCTCAAATCCTGTTCAACACCAGCGAACAAAACATATTGAGATTGATCTACATTTTGTGCGCGAAAGAGTTTCTATGGGTCACATTCGCGTTCTACATGTTCCGACACATCTCCAATATGCAGATATTTTCACCAAAGGTCTCCCTTCGCAGCTGTTCACAGACTTCCGCTCCAGTCTAAGCGTTCGACCAGCTCCGCTTCCACTGAGGGGGAGTGTTAGTTAGGATATGATAATATCCAACTAGAGAATAGAATAAGTATATTCTGTAAAGATAAGTATCTACAGTTGTATATATACTCATTCATGAGATCAATGCAAATCATCAATTCTCATACACTTTCACATGGTTCAGTTGATTTTCTTGTTATATCAAAAAATGGAGCGAGTGCGGACTATCCTGGATGTACAGACTTTGCATATGAGAAAGCTATCAAAGATGGTGCTGATGTTATCGACTGCTCAGTCCAAATGTCCAGCGACGGTATACCCTTTTGCTCAAGTTCGATAGATCTCTCGAACAGCACAATGATCTCCCTAACGCCTTTCTCAAACCGTTCAACACAAGTTCCTGAGATTAGCTCAAAAGGTGGAATATACACTTTTAGTCTCACATGGCCTGAGATACGGAACTTGACTCGTAAGTTTCCCACTTAACTTAAAAAGGTTACATCTAACATTTTTATATTCTTCTAGCTTTTTTACTATGGTAATTCGACCAAAAAGAACACGAACTTTGCACAAATTGCCAAAAAAAACCTGTACTCGAGCCTTGCCAAAAAAAATCTGCACTTTTGTTGACTTTTTTGGTTTATTAAGCAACTTAATATTGACTGGCCATATCAGCATAGCGTTAAATGCAACGTTAAGTGTTGCCGTTACGTGAAACGACGTCGTTTTCAAATGAGATGAAACGACGTCGTTTTACATGAATTTGAAAATAAAAACATGTACACCCGAGGATTCAAACCCGGGTTGATTGAGTCAAATGGCAAGGTGTTTTACCACTGGGCTAGTGCACATTCAATGTAATTACTAACACGTTTAATTTTATTTGGTACTAATTGAATATCAAAAAATTTCTAAAAATTTAAAAATATCTGTAAAATTCTAAAAAGTTGAAGAAATAAAGATTTTTTATAAATTAATTTTGAAATTAAAATAAAAAATAAAATTTTATTTTTCTTTAAAAAAACAAAAGTCTTCCAAAATATTCATTTTTAAAAACAAATGCTAAAAACTGAAATTAATTATAAACACAAAAACACCCACATATTAAAATTAAATTAAAAGGCTTAAAATAAATATTGTACCCAGTATGAGTGTGATTTTAATCTTTATCTAATAATTTTAACTTAATTTTTGCATTTTCTTTGAATTTTTCAATTTTTTGGAATTTTGAAAAAAAACAATTTGGAAGACTTTTGATTTTTTAAAAGAAAAATTAAATTTTTATTTTTTATTTTAATTTCAAAATTAATTTATAAAAAATCTCTATTTCTTCAACTTTTTGGAATTTTAAAGATCTTTTTAGGTTTTTAGACAAAATTAAAATCACACTCATACTGGGTACAATATTTATTTTAAGCATTTTCATTTAATTTTAATATGTGGGTATTTTTGTGTTTATAAGTAATTTCAGTTTTTAGCAATTGTTTTTAAAAATGAATATTTTGGAAGATTTTGAATTTTTAAAGAAAAAAGAAAATTTTATTTTTAATTTAATTTCAAAATTAATTTTATAAAAATTTCTTTATTTTTTTTATTTTTTGTAATTTTAAAGATCTTTTTAAGTTTTTAGACAATTTTTATATGTAATCAATACCAAATAAAATTAAATGTGTTACTAATTACATTGAAAGAGTGAGTAAAATTCAAATCTGTGGGTGTACATGATTTTATTTTCAAATTCATGTAAAACGACGTCATTTCATCTCAATTGAAAACGACGTCGTTTCACCTAACGACACATCAATTTTTTTCTGTTAAATTTGTTGACGGCGTCCTAAATTGGCATGTCAACGAAAACTTTGTTATTTACTTCTAGAGTCAATAAAAATTTTGTGTTTTTTTTTGCCAGCCTAAGAGTTCATGTTTTTTTTGGCAATTCATGCAAAGTTCGTGCTTTTTTTGGTCAAATTCCCTTTTTACTATGTACAATTTGTTCAGAAATCCCTACGGTATATACAATATGTTATAGCTTTCTCCCATCTTTTTTGTGCAGCTGCAATTGCAAACCCCTACGGTATATACAATATGTTCAGAAATCCAATTAAGAAAAATTCTGGAAAGCTTATTTTGCTTTCTGAGTTCCTTAACCTGGCAAAGAATTCAACTTCGCTTTCCGGTGTTTTGATCAGTGTAGAGGTGAGTTTTTTATCTTTTATTATTTTAACCATTCGTCTTCTCATGGCCAAGCCACTTAATTTTATTGAGTCCTTCAGCATGCAGTGTACCTGAGAGAAAAGCAAGGACTCGACGTGGTGAAAGCGATTCTTGATACACTCACGGAAACTGGTTACAGCAATGGAATAACCACAACAAAGGTCATGATTCAGTCAACCGAAAGCTCGGTTCTATTTGACTTCAAGGAGCAGAGCAAGTATGACATTGTCTACAAAATTGGAAAAACCATTAGTGATATTAGTGACTCTGCTATCCAAGACATGCAATTTGCTAATGCTGTGGTCATCACAAAAGAATCAGTCTTTTCCTTATTTGATTCGTTCATCACTAGGCAAACCAATATTGTGGAGAAGCTGCAAAGATCTAGGCTACCTGTTTATTTGGAACTGTTTCAGAACGAGTTTGTATCTCAACCATTTGACTTCTTCTCTGATCCAACCGTTGAGATAAATTCATATGTCATTGGAGCCGGTATCAATGGAACCATCACAGAGTTCCCTTTCACAGCTGAAAGATACAAAAGTAAGTGGACCTGTATCACTATAGGATTTATATAATATTCTTTGGTTTGGACTTCATAAATTTCATCTTGATACCCAAAATATCTGTGACAATCCATCCCGTGAAATCTCACAGTGCCGCAGCGCATCAACCCTATTCATTCCCATGTGTGTCTTCACTGACTCCACCATATAGGTTATTGATGTGTTTGGCCTCACTGGAACTGAAGACCTCACCCTTTAACAATCCTTCCACTGAACAAGCTGTCACCAATTGATCTGTAACCTGTCCCGTGGGAACTACTCGTTCCATGGCCGTTAGGCTGGCCCTGCAGGACACCGACCCCAACCCCTTCATTAGGAGTTCTCACTAACTCCATAATTAAGTTGTTGGTGAAACTCGAACCCAGGTCCTCACCCTTTAACAGCACTCCGACAGGACAAGCTATCATCAATTGATCACTTTTTTTGTGACAACCCATCATGTGGAAGCTCACAGTGCTGCAGCGTTTGGACCCCAACCTATCCCTTATGAATTCTCATGAACTCCTTAGGTTGTTGATGTGTTTCGAACCCAAGATCTCACCCTTTAACAATTCTCCCACATGACAAGTTGTCACCAATTTAACTGTAGATCAATTGGTGACAATTTATCATGTGGGAGAGTTGTTAAATGGTGAGATCTTGGGTTTGAGGCACAACTTTCACGGGATGGATTATCACAATATCTTTAATACTGAACTTTCTAGAACCAAAGGTTTCACAATCACAATAATGCCAACTTTGTTTCTCTTCTGCAGGGAACCGATGTTTGGGAACTCTACCACCTTACATGTCCCCTGTTCAACCGGGTGGTCTCTTATCCCTTTTGAATGCCAAACCTCGAGACCAAGGTCTAAACCGGGTTTTCACAGATGATGATGTCTCAGCTTATGATCGTTACAAACGATGCAGTCAACCATTTGGCTGTGGCGATCAGGGCGGTCTCTTATACCCATTCTGGATACCTGACAGAGAAGCCTGCGGCCACCCCGGCTTCAACCTCAGTTGTAGCAATGGATTCGCAGAGATTACTGTCTCCTCTGTGAGGTTCAGAATCTTAAACGCAAATTATACCTCTCGTATTATAAGACTTGCCAGATCTGATTATATCGACAATCTTTGTCCTTTAAACCCACTAAATGGACAATTCCCTCAAAGTGCCCTTCAACTGGCTACTAACACCGGCCTCCTAACAATGTTATATGACTGCCAAAACTTATCATCTCTTATCTCTAGTAATAGCGAAGATTACAATTACGTTACAGAGTTTCCATGTAAAGAAGGTGTAAACAACTATTGTGTTGTGATAAACAGCTCGTCTTCCTTTTTCAACGGGAGGGTTGGAATAGATTTATTGAAGAAAAAATGCAAAAAAGACGTCAGCATGCCTGTTTCTGGATCGAAGCTACACACTCTGCATTCAGATAATCTGAAGAAGACTCTTGAACAGGGTTTCGAGGTTGAACTTACACCAAACTGCTCAATGTGCCTGGATTCTAAGGGTGCTTGTGGATATAATCAAACTTCAGGTGGATTCGTCTGCTACTGTGAAGATGGGACCCATGGCCAAAACTGTAGTAGCTCTGGAAAGACAGGTCACGGTAATAAAACCACCCTCTTCTCTGATTTTTTTTTTATTTTAAATTTTCAGGTCAGGTTTGTTTCCATTCTGACAAAATGTTTACATGTTGGACGGTTAAACAGAGTCTTCGGTCAACACAGCTCACAAAGGTTAGTATGGATAGGAATATAGATTTTTGAACTGTTCTGTTTAAAAAATGAATATTTGAACCCTTTCAGATTATATTAAAATAAAGTTATTTAACTCAACACTTGTTCTATTCTTTTTTCTTTTACCATTTACTTGGAAATCAAGTTTGGTTCCATTCTGACAAAATTTTACTTGTTGGACGGTTGAACAGGGTCTTTCGCCAATGCAGTTAACAAAGGTTAGTATGGATAGGAATATAGATTATGAACTGTTTACGATTATTCAAAATCCCCCTATATATTAAAAGAGAAGTCACTTTAATGAATTTTGGTTACGTGTCATTCATAGGTGCAATGTATAATTAGTTCTCTTAATTTGATTGGTTGTTGGCATTTGAATTTTTATTTATTTAATTAAAGTTTTTTAAAAGGAAACTAATCCTAAAATTACCTAATCTAATATATATTACCAAACAAATAATTAACCATCTTAAATACATCCCCCTATATATTAAAAGAGAAGTCACTTTAATGAATTTTGCTTACGTGTCATTCATAGGTGAAATGTAGAATTAATTCTCTTAATTTGATTGGTTGTTGGCATTTGAATTTTTATTTATTTAATTAAAGTTTTTTAAAAGGAAACTAATCCTGAAATTAAATAATCTAATATATATTACCAAACAAATAATTAACCATCTTAAATACATCCCTTTATATATTAAAAGAGAAGTCACTTTAAAGAATTTTGCTTACGTGTCATTCATAGGTGCAATGTAGAGTTAGTTCTCTTAATTTGATTGGTTGTTGGCATTTGAATTTTTAATTATTAAATTAAATTTTTTTAAAAGGAAACTAATCTTAAAATTACCTAATCTAATATATATTACCAAACAAATAATTAACCATCTTAAATACATAGGATTAATATAATTTGTTTATAGAAACAATTAAATATCACATATTCCATTATAAAATAGTTTGGTAATATATATTTGTTTGGTAATATATATTAGCTTATCTTGGTTTATTCCATTATAAAATATCACATATTCCATTATAAAATTGAGCAAGGAAGATAAATATAAATGATAAGTTATAAAATTGTTAATGTTGAAGATGCAAAATATAACGCAAATTAATTTTAAAATAAATTATTTTAAAATAATGATAAGTATTTTTTGCGGTGTGATAAACTTTAAAAATATATGATAACAAAGGTATAACAAAACTTATACAACTAGAAACATGTTATTTTGATATATTAAAACTGTTGAATCTCATGTTTATATTAATCTATGTCTAAAATAATGACATCACATCATTTAAGAATTAGGATATTTTATGTTATATAATTATTTAATCAAATTTACTTTTTTGAAATACAGTTATTTAGATTTACTTAAAATATGTATGTAATGAAGTAATTAAAAAACAAAATTAATAGTAAAATATTTATTTTTTCAATGAAAACCTTGGTCAAAGGAATCAATGTTTGATAAGATACTGTGAAGATTGGAGAGAATTTGATAATGAATTTATTTGGTTAGTCAATTGTGATTTTATATTAAATTCTAAATAAAAGAATATATAAGAAAGGGAGAAAGAGAGAAGATATGGTGATGATAAGGATTAGAGATTCGGTTATGATCATAATGAAGATGAAAAGGAATATAAGTGAGAGACTGAATATAAGTGAGATATATTCTGAAATCATTTTTTAATACTATGTCAAAGTGTTTAGAAGATTTAACAAAATCTGATGAAAAATTTGCAACCAAAAAAGATAAAAACAGTTTTAAAATGAAATATTGATGATCATATTAAGGATGAGGGTAAGAGAATGAATATAGGTGATTGTGAGAGAGTGAATGTAAGTTTGAGAGATTTTGAGATTATTTGATCAACTAAGAGAGAGGTGTATAAAGACACACAAAAATAATACAAAGAGAGATACATAAGAAACAAAACGAATGTGTGAAAAAATACAAGGAGAACCGATATGAGTAAAACAGAAAAATATATTAAAAACAGAGTATCTATGTAAAAGAGAAAAAAATTACAATATATTTATACATTTATATTATTTTTTATTCATGCAATGTATAGATTATATTATGTCCGCGCAGGCGTGCGGGCCGTCCACCTAGTATTTATTATTTTTTATAACTAAGTTATTTAATTCAACATTTGTTGAGAAATCTTATATATTAAAACAGAAGTCATGACTTGACTTCATGTGTGATTTTTTTAAAAATGGACTATTACTAGAAAGTCATGTTACATTAACTCTCTAATAATCTTATCATTATTATATCTTATGAAAAATCATATCTATAGTAACAAATATACGCTTAACAATTCCGTTTTGGTAAATTATCCCACACCTTCCAACTTAGTCACGCAAAATATGTCAAAAGATATAAGTTTAGGAATCTTCTATTATTTATAAGGAAATATGTCAATAATAGTTAAATGAATCCACAATATATTAACAAAAATCACATATTCGTAATATAGAATATTTATATACCTAACAAAGTTTACACGCTATATATACTAGATAAATTTATTTCGATGTAAAATTTTAAAATTATATTGTTTTAAAAAAGAAATTGTTTAAAAAATTATTTTTTAATAAAATTCTTTATAATATTAATTTATGAAGCTATAAGTTTAGTTTTTAGCAAAAATTTCTTCAAATTTTATATTATCATTGAAAATTAAAGTATACTAATATTTAATTAAGCTCTATTTATATTAATTTATCTAAAAATGAAATACTAATCTAACAAACAATAAAATATAGAAGAAGAAACAAACACATGTTTGAAAAACATGTATAATATAGAAAATTTGAAATAATCTATTTGATTAAAACATTGTATTATATAATATTATTATGTTTGAAAAACATTTACTATACATATCGTAAATATGTGATTACTATGATATATACCAATTTACAAGTGAAAACAAAATGTTTACATAACTACTTATACACGAAAAAAACACTCGTGCGGTTGCGCGGGTCAAAATCTAGTTTACCCTTAAAACTACAAAAACAACCCAAATCTAGTAAGTAACCAAAAAAACATTTTCTCTCCGACTTTCTTTTCCTATCTTTCTATATAACCAATCCCCCCCCCCCTTTTTATTACACAAATAAGACCATTCTGTTTTTTTTTCTCTTTGTAACTTTTTTGTTTGGTTCCATTCTGAATTCTGACAAAAAATTACTTGTGGAACAACGGTACAGGGTCTTTGGTCAATACAGTACGCAAAGGTTAGTTTGCTTGGAAGATAAACTTTGAACTGTTTCCAGGTATTAAAAACTGAAGTTACCTAACTCACCAATTTCTCTGATTTTATAGTTTCGGGCTCAGTAGCAGGCGTTGTTATGTTCGTGGTCATATTATCATTGATTCTTTGTTTCCTCCGGAAGAGAGAAGCAAGACAGAGACAGCAGAATCTGAAGTCTCTTATTCCACTCAGACACTACACTTACTCACAAGTAAAACGAATTACAAAGTCATTTGCAGAAGTGGTTGGGAGAGGCGGCTTTGGGATTGTTTACAAAGGAACTCTTCCTGATGGCCGTATGGTTGCGGTGAAGGTCTTGAAAGACGCAAAGGGCAATGGTGAAGATTTCACCAATGAAGTTTCAAGCATGAGCCAAACTTCTCATCACAACATTGTTTCCTTGCTTGGTTTCTGCTCTGAAGGTTCCAAAAGAGCAATTATCTATGAATTTTTGAGTAATGGGTCGCTTGATAAATTCATCTCAGGCAAGACCACGATGAATTTGAACTGGACGGCGTTGTATCAAATCGCGCTTGGGGTTGCTCGAGGTCTGGAGTACTTGCATCATGGCTGCAAAACAAGGATTGTACATTTCGACATAAAACCACAAAATGTGCTCTTAGATGACAACTTTTGCCCCAAAGTTTCCGACTTTGGCCTCGCTAAGCTCTGTGAGAAGAAAGAGAGTGCATTGTCATTGCTGGACACAAGAGGTACGGTCGGTTACATTGCACCAGAAATGATCTCAAGAGTTTATGGGAGCGTGTCTCACAAGTCAGATGTATATAGCTACGGAATGTTGGTTCTGGAGATGATTGGCGCAAGGAATAAAGAAAAAGCTCATCAAGACTCTGCTTCCAACACAAGTTCAATATACTTTCCTGAGTGGATATATAGGGATATTGAATTAGGAAAGTCCAGAAGGCTTATCGAGGATGAAATCAGCGATGAAGAAAATGAGTTAGCAAAGAAGATGGTTTTGGTTGGTTTGTGGTGTATTCAGTCTTCTCCATTAGATCGCCCACCGATGAACAGAGTTGTAGAGATGATGGAAGGAAGTTTGGATGCCCTTGAAGTGCCTCCTAGACCTGCTTTGCAAATTCCCATTGCACCTCTTCAAGAATCTTCGACACTCTCGAGGGAAATTTCGGTTTACACCGAAGAATGATTCAAGAAGTTTCGAAACTTATCAATGCAGGAACACAACAATGCACTTATTCAAGAAGTGTATGTGTAAAATTAGGTTTGGATTATAGTTTTTTATACACATTTGTGTCAAACATAATAAAATAGTGTTATTAAAATTTTAAGTGTCAATAACTAAATAAATACATTACTCATTTTGATTGATACAACACAGTTTGAAACACATAAATAAACTGTCGAAAAAAAGAAACATATAAATAAACTGCTTAATAAACAATATATATGTGTCTTACACAAATGATCACTTACCATCATTTCTTGTTCACAAAACCTTTTGAAACTACTATAACCCAAACAATGAATTGGTTTGGTAGAAAAATAATTAAAATAAACCATTTTTTTAGAAAGTTGCGTATCCTATTATAAATTTAGAAGATATTTTATAGTAATACCAACAGAAATAAGAAGTTGGTAAAAAGGAACCAACAGAAATAAGAAAAAATTATATACTTAATTTCAAATTGCCTTTTATTTGACATATATGATATTTGTATATCTTGACATACTGTAAAACACAGTTTTTATAAATGTTTTGAAATTAATTTTTAAAGAGTTGGCATATATATATATATATATATATATATATATATAATATCAAGTTAGTTCTTTTTTATTTTCATTCTATTCTAACAGATTTTGTTTCGAAATTATGCATGTTTTAAAAATATTAAACTATCATACTGACTTGACATATTTTGAAGTGTTTTGAAATTATATGTGAACATTTTTAATAACATAGCCCGTATTGAAAAAAATTGTGAACATATAACTTCCATAAATAGTTTTAAATGATAATAATTTTTGTAAATACCTAAAATTATATTATAGAAACCGAAAATTAACCTTCATAAATGGAAAATTCTAACTTTATTTCAAACTTAATACCAATTTTCAAATATACATTTAAATGATCACTATTTTATAAATATCTTAAGTTTATTATGAAAGAAGACAAAATTAACCTTAATAAATCATTTATAAATATTAAATCATAATTTATAAAAAATTATAAACCCAACATAACCACTTAAATACTAATCCTAAAAATTATGGGGAAAATCTAATTTTTAGGGGTTGGCACAAACCGAGTATTTGGTATTTTCGGTATACTTAGTACTCGGTTTAGTTTGTACTAGTATTCAAATTTTGGGCTTATATTTAATTTACCAAAAATGAGTACTTTCACTTTCAAGTACTTACAAAAAAAGTTGACGGACTTGTAAATTACTTATATTATTTTATTACTTGTTACTTGTAAATATTTAATAATTAGTTGAAATTTAAATGTAAATAACTTTATTATATATAGATAATATGTCATTGTTTTCTTTTGTCCTTATTTTTCCTATATTTTAGTCAATTCCTGAAATATATAAGAAAGAAATTTTTTTAAGATACTTAAATAAATATATCACTTTTGTTTGATTTACTAATACAATTAGAAATATAAACAAATTATTTTACTATGATCTAGGAAAATATATCTTTATTCATTAGAAAAAGCAAGTAATAAACCAAATAACGTCAACTAATTAATTTAATTTTAATATTTATATTTGTCTTGTACTTATAGGTAGTTGCAATAAGTTACTTGATACACGATTTGATAAGAACAAGTATTCAACTTTAATGTTCATGTACAGTCAAATAGCGAATAGGAGACAAGTAAAAAGTAAATGTAATCACTCATAAAATGCAATACATAAATTTTGATTAAGTAATGAAATAGATATCAAATATTTAATAAATCAAGTAACTGAGCAAATAAATGATAACAAGTTAAGTAACAAGTCAAGTAACAAACCAAGTAGTTAAAAATAAAAATGAACTTGATACTTGACATGTACTTACGAATAATAATATCCGATTACTTGTTACTTGACTTAACTGTAGCAAATATTTATTTTCCAAATCAAGCCGAATCAAATAGCGAATACAAACCGGGTCGAGCATTTGTTCCCAACCCTACCAACTTTACCTCAAATTGTATACTACTTTTAAAATTAGTTTCAAAATTGAGTTCAAAAACAAAAGTCTGAGCAAGGATCTCATATTATTATTTGCGAAATGATTTGGCACATGTCCTCTCTACAATCATTTTTTCATTTTCACAAATTAAGATGACATGACTACTAAAATTGATGACATGGCTTATAGTTAAATAGAACATAGAAAATTACATTTATTGCTGATATATATTTTTGGTAAACCTAATAGAATATGACAATAAATGATACATTACATTTAATGTTGATTTATATTTGGTAAACTTCTTAAAATATGTTAATAACTCATAAATCAAAATCTCGCCAAAAATAAATATATTGAAATATGCATTATAAATTTCGAAATGTTATTTAATTTTACTTTTATAATTATAAATTTTTTTTATTACTAGTATTTTCAAAATTTTATACATATTGTTTTAAAATAATAAATTTTAATCGTAATATCAATAGTTTGTTTTAGATATTTAAAAATATTAAAAATATTGTTTAGTTATAACTTTTAATAATTATACAATTTTATACATGTAACCAAAATAAATAGATAAAAAATTTCTAAGATTCAAATTTAAATATATTAAATATAATTTAAAATAAACAATTTTTTTCTTAATTTTGTGCTTAATCAAATTAAATTTATATTAAATATTATTCAAAATAATAAAATATAGAATATTAATAAATTTCATTTTAAATATAATTTAACTTTTAAAAAAAGTTTATCACTGCAACAGAATAAACAACTTGTGTAATGTAATACAAACGACCTCACGAAAACGAAAATGAGACTTTGAAGCCCAGTTGTTAAAGGACCTTAACATGAAGCCCATGCCCATATGAAAACAATTAAAAAGCAAATAATCTCATCTCAACCGATAACTCGAATCTCCTCCTACAGAAATGGCTGCAATCAGTCTCTCCTCTGTGTACGCCTCAGCCTCTCCCCGCGTTTCCCGTCCGCAAAATTCCCGAAATACCCCTATCCTTACTCTCTATTCACGCTTCACCCCATCCTTCTCCTTCCCCTCTCTCTCCTCCACACTCCGCGTCCACACACCCCGCTCTCGCCGTCCCTTCCTGATCGCCTCCGCCGTCAAGTCACTAGGGGAGACGGAGCAGCTTCCGATCGCCGAGGCCGAATCGATTCCGGCTGAATCCGGTGTATACGCCGTTTACGATAAGAGCGACGAGCTTCAGTTCGTCGGAATATCTCGGAACATAGGGGCGAGTGTCTCTGCTCACGTGAAATCGGTGCCTGAGCTTTGTGGCTCCGTCAAGGTAAGGCTCATCAGCTTGAAAATGGAATGAGTTTACAAATGTTTCTGTGAATCTTGATTCGTTTGGAAGATAGTAGTCTCTTTGTGAATCATAGGGAAGTAGATAATAAGGTTTGTAGAATTCAAGCTAATGAAGTTCTTAATCAAATTAACTACACTTGTCACACTAGGTATATGATTAGGAGATGCATTTGGTGTTCATTGTTGTACGTTACTGTGAGAAATAATCGAAATTGTTACTTGAGTATGCACGATTCGTCACGTCAGCACACATGTGTGTAGGAGTAGAGTAGAGCACGGAGTATAAATACTTATTGTACAGCTTGATTAATTTTAGGGAAGAAAGTATTCTGTTATCTAACTTCTACTATCAGAGCAGTGAGCATACGAATCCTTCATCTATTGGGCATGTATATCAGAACAAGTGCTGATAATACGCAACCACATAGGATCGAATCTCAAGCAATATAGAACACAAGAAGAAGATGTTTATATATGGAAAAGATAGAGACAGATCAAAGAGTGGGATTATGTTTATGTTAGGACTTTGGTTTCCTACTTCATTTTGCATTTCCTTTTCATTACCGATTAACATGGAAAATAGACACTGTAAAAACCCTCACTGTCCCCTTAGTATTGAACGTTAGCGAAATAGAACAAAGTGGTAGCTTTGTTTATAGATACATGAGTGCTCTTTAGTTTGAAGAGTTTGGAGAGGTTTATCAGGTTGATTACGAAAAAGTTATCCCCTTTGCTGTTTTGATTCCCCTCTCTCTGTTAGGTTCTTTCAGTTAATAATAAGAGTTTTGAGTTTCTTTTGCTTCCATGATCCTTTACTCTTAATCAGCTTTCTACAGTAAAATCCAATATATATCTCTTTAGAAATTTAGTAAGATTAACATCGGAATAGAAACTGTAAGAACCCTTCTAGTGTTTGTTTGCCCATTGACTCATGGCCAACCACTTTATGTACATGATGAATGAGAATATTGGCAAGTTTTGGTGTTCTTGATACTTGATACTGACATTTTGTTTTAATGTGTCATCATTGGTTGCTTAGATTGGTATAGTAGAAGAACCTGACAAAGCGGTTTTAACACAAGCATGGAAATCATGGATAGAAGAACACATAAAAGTAACCGGAAAGGTCCCTCCAGGAAACAAGTCAGGAAACAACACATGGGTCAAACAGACTCCAAGGAAGAAATCAGACATCCGTCTCACTCCAGGTCGCCATGTCGAGCTCACTGTTCCCTTAGAGGAACTCATTGACCGGTTAGTGAAAGAGAACAAAGTGGTAGCTTTCATTAAAGGGTCTAGAAGCGCTCCTCAATGTGGATTCTCACAGAGAGTTGTTGGTATACTTGAGAGCCAAGGAGTGGATTATGAAACGGTTGATGTTCTTGACGATGACTATAATCATGGGCTAAGAGAAAAGCTGAAGAGTTATAGCAATTGGCCTACGTTTCCGCAGGTGTTTGTGAAAGGAGAACTGTTAGGAGGTTGTGATATATTGACCTCAATGTATGAGAATGGCGAACTTGCCAATATGTTTAAGTAGTTTCATCCCATTTTATTTCTATGTTTCTAGTTTGTGTAACTCAAAACAATTTATTATAAACGTTTAGAACCTCTTCTATTTTTACATATTTAAAGCTTACGGATTGTTATATCTAATCTATGAAACTTAGGAAAATATTACTGATTTAAATCTAATATGTAATTTAATTAGTATTTTTGTAGCTAGACATGGACGTTC